TAACTCTGATTTTTTCTGCACAGATGCTGTCAGACCTGCTGAGCTTTTCCAGCAAGTTTGTTTCTGTTCCTGATTTACAGCATCCGCAGTTCTTTCGGTTTTTATCAGAGAATGCAGAGCCCTTCCACCAGCTTGCATTGAGCTTCATTGGAATACTGTAGTATACTGAGGGTTGAAAATGCTACAATGGGAGCAAGAAATGGCAAGTTCTGGAAGGTCAGAGTCATTCTTACGGACAAAATGAGGTGTGTACCACAAAGTGCTCACCTAATCTGCGTTTGGTCTTGCCAATGTCAAGTCTGATGACCACATTATCTAATAATCATTTCATTTATAGTTACGGTGCTTTGCAAAGTTCCAACATTTACCCACAGAGCAACAATAACTGTGCTTCAAAGTAATTTATTGCATTTGAAAACATTGGGATGTATCTGATGATACAGCTTGTATTTGTAGGATTGTAGAGAAAGGAATCCAAAAGACGAATTCATTCAAGCCCTTTTGCCTTTATTTTGTGGACAAATAGCTGCAAAGAGCTGCTTTAAAAAAATCTGTGTGAAAAATCCTTTCCCTTGTAGTCACTTTTACAAATCTCTATTTCTGATGCCTATCACATGTGCCATTTGAACTTTTGGAAATGTTCACAAGTCCCATGCTATTTTTGTTATATAAGAAATTTAGCTCAATTTGTAAGCAACACAAATCATCAGAATGATAATTTGGTGCAAAAAAAAATCACAATCTCCAGAGTCAGTTATGAGTTCATTGAGGTGTAACAGGGATACAATCGTTGCTGGTGAAAATCCCAAACGTTACTGAACAGCCATCAGTGCCAACTGGGCACAGAACATTCCTCAGCTGATGTTCCATTACTTGATGATTGACAGCTTTGATCAGCATTCAGCATGGAAAGGATATTAACCTCATTGTGTCAGTGGGGATTTTGCATGGGTTGACTAATGTTGGTGTCAACTGAGTTTCAGCCATATTCTTTATTCCAACCTACAAAAATGGGGCACCCTCAGAGTGAAGACAACGCAATTTTATAACTTCAACTCTAGCAGTGGAGACACATTAAAGTGACTTATCTCTAAAATATTCACATTTACGCTATTCATTTTGCATTTAAGGTCAGATTGACTTCTTCATCAAAATTCCTACAGACGTCTAAAATCAACAGCAAATGTAAAGCTGATGAAAATATAAGTTGGTGGCTGAAACATAAAAGCTAGAGCAACTTGGCATTGAAAAAAAAAGTAATTCTCTTGACCTCTGTTTAGCTAAATGCTTAGGGTTAGAAGTTCTACTCTGGGCATAACTGGCAATTCTGGCCAAAAGGGTGATCAAAATTTCATGTTTTGAGATTCCCCAGTTGAGTTTTTACTCAAACATTTTTGCATAGCAATAAATGTTTAGTCTGAAACAGTGCAATCAGACAGTGCCTTATAACAATGCTTTAAGAAAAACTTCACAAATTTACTTCCATTTGTTTAAGAGTGCAATGTCGGCGACATTTGACTGAAACATCTTAAAATGGGTGTAATTACAAAGCATAAGCATGTTTGATCATCATGTCAATCCACTACCTCAGAGTAAACTTGATTTTCTATTCCTGAGTTTAAATCTTAAATATATAAAGCCATTTACTAATTTTATTGATATACTGTAGTCAGTTTCTAGGTACATTCAAAACAAAGATTGCATTCAAAAGTTGCTAAATAATACCATTAACTGTCCATAAACCCAAAAGAATCAACTGTGTTTAAAGCCTTAATGGAAGTTTTTTGAGTAAAGTTGGCAGAAGCTTCCGATTGGTGATTATGGAAAACAGGAAGTGCAAATTTATTTTTGGTGGGCCTCTTCCAACAATGTATTTTAAACTAGTACAAATAGAAAATTGAGTTATTATGATGATTACTATGGTTTTAAAAGATGCATTTTGTCCTTTTTTTTTAAATGAAGAAAGGTTGAGGCAGAGGTGCTCAAAGCCAAAAAAACAGTTTGTGAGGTCTTGGGTTTTGTTTTACCAAGTTGGAACAATAGAAGCAGCCTGAATGGATGAGGTCAAGCTCACAAAGAACCTGGATTTTTAGTTTTAGCTTTCAGTACTTGCTGGGGTCTTGAAGCTGGATGTGGAAGCTCTTTTTCCTCTTTCTTTTCCAGCTAAAATCTGGTGCTCTCCTCCTACTTCGAGAATTGCATGTGAGGCAATCTATTTTACTGAATTTGTCTTTGCCAAGGGTGTGTTTATGGGATGTTTCTATATTGGAACAGTTAATTAGTAGTTTATTTTATAAGCATTTCATTCAAGTGACAGTTAAGCCAGTTCTTTTATTTTTCTTTTGTTTGCATTTTAACTGTAGTGTAAAAATGAAGTGTGCTTTGCTTAAAGTCGAGTAGTTTGTCTAATTGAATTGCATCTGGAACAAGTGGCACTTGCCTTTAAAATAGGAGAATGTCAGGGTTTAGGATATCTTCTTATTATATTTTAAGAGGGTTTGGCCTGGGCTATAACAGTTATATTGAATGTCAATCTCATTTAATACAATTTTGTTGCAATTATATCAATTTCACCCAAATTGTACCAAAGGAAAAAGACAATTGAGTGGCAGCTCCAGGCCACATTAGGTTCTGGTGCTGGGAAAATGAGCTTCAATGTCCATGTCTGTCATCTAGAGCTCAGGGGGCAGCTTTCTTGTGTCTGAATCACAAAGTCCTACGTTCAAATCCAACTCCAGAAATTCAAACAACAATCAAAGGTGATACCAGAATGTAGTATGTAAGCACCATGACAGAATCTTATAAGAGCCTGAATGACCTGGGCTAAGGGAGGATTTGTGGCAGAACCACAAGAGAAGCCTGGTAAGACCTAACTCGACATCAGGAGCAACTTGTTGCATCTTCACTGTATCTGTCAGGCATTGAAGCAATGGTAAGTTCCCAGTTATGGGGGCACTTTGCTTATTAAACAAGTAATTAACAGAACATTTTGTAGATTGATATGCAGCTTCTGATCTCATCAAATGAGCCCAACAAACTAGGCATCCAGAACTCCCGCCATGGTGCCCAGAGTGGGTACCTGATGACTTCACCTCATTGCCGGAAGTGAAGAGTCTCCACGTTGCTCAGTTTGAACCAGCACCATCCATGGATATCCTTCATCCATGGACAGTGGCATTTGAGATTTGCCAACCCCTCAAGAACTTCCAAGGTGCCTTTATAATCCATTTGCAGTGTTTTGCAATCACAGAGCTGTATTGCAGGGTGCACCAGCAATTATCATTGAAATACTTGGTCACTCAGTTGGCACGACATCTCCACAAAGCTGATGCACGTACAGAGAGCAGGGCTGCATTGGAGCTGACAACAGGGCTCCTGAAAATACAGTTGCACTGCTTAGACCAGTTTGGTGAGGGTGGGCTTTCAGTGTAGTCAAGACAGAGTGTGGTATATCATCCTGGCATGCTGTGGTCCACACAATTGGGAAAGGCCAAGAGGATACGAGAATGATGCTGAGGACCTGAGTGAATAGGAACTATCTTCTAATAAGGAGAACAAACATACTGGGGAGGAGGAAGTGCTCCTCATGCACAAAGAGGTCAGTTGAATTGGGCATTACAAAACAAATAGATCTTGATCAACACTCATTGCCAGGAGATGAGAGCTGGGTGTAGCAGACCACCTTGGAAAGTTAATTCCAAAATCTGGTATGCATTGTGGCGATGGATCACAGCCTCTACTCATTTAATCTGCATTCATTCTTGCTTTCTGTAAATAAAATCTCACGCCTGGAATTCTTTGATTGCCTGTACGTGATGTTCCCCATTTGGGCAATGGCAAAAGACAGGTACTGGAGTCATACTAGCGGCAACAGAGTAGAGGGCGTTTAGATGAGATACAGTCAAGGACAGATAACCCGTGTTGCCTGCTAGTTGAACAATGACTGGGCTGAAACATTGGCGTAGACGAGAGCGAGTAATTGCTATGCCAGCTGTGTTCAGCATGAGTTTGTGTTTGTTGTGCTATTATGTTGCCAGTGAGGGATAATACCGAATTTCAACCAGGGATGTCAGTCCTTAGGCAGATAACCATGGAACAGGGTGAACACAGCAGGCCAAGCAGCATCATAGGAGCAGAAGGCTGACATTTTGAGCCTGCACCCTTCATCAGATTTTCTGATGAAGGGTCTAGGCCCGAAACGTCAGCCTTCCTGCTCCTATGATGCTGCTCGGCCTGCTGTGTTCATCCAGCTCTACACCTTGTATATCTCAGATTCTCCAGCATCCGCAGTTCCGACTATTGGTAACCATGGAACAGTGAGCTTTTTCAGGAATGGTGCATGATAAAAAGGGACAAAATTGAGATGAGAGGGGTGCCTCATTGTAGAGCTGGAGCAGGGCTGGTAGTTAAAGAGGTGAGTTTGGTAAGATATGGCTAGAAATCTCACTGTGTGTCATGACAAAAAACCCTCCAAAAAAAATACTCGACACAACCGACATTTAGCCAAAAGCAAAACATAAAATTCAGCCCAATGCTTTGGATGAGGCGCTAAACTGAGGCCCAAACTGTCTACATGGAAGGACGAAAAATATCCCACCTTTTTTTTTAATCAAACAAGACCAAGGGAGTTATTCCTGTGTCCTGGTCAATGCTTAACCTTCAATCAGCATCACACCTGCACGAAATAAAAATCTGTTCATTATCATAATGCTGTTCTTGGAAATTTATCAAACACATTTTGGCTGCCAGGTTTCCAACCATTGTGACAGTGACTAAGCTTCAAAGAGGATTTAATTGGCAACAAAGCAATTTGAGGTGTATGCTGATCAGGAGAGTGGTATTGTTTTTATAGCTTTCTTTATGAGTTGGGAAGAGAAAAGTACAGTGGTGGATCTTGCTTCTGATTGCCATCTAGTGACATCAGGTAGAAGTGCACAAGCATGGTTACCACGGAGACGATATAAGACTCTAGTGATGCACCTCCCACCTTCTTTTGACCACATAACCTGCTGGTTCAAGCAAAGGGCGTTGTCATTTGGACAAGTTATCCACACAGAGGGCTTCCAGGAGGTAATGGATCAAATTCGGTTTGTGGAAATTTCAGACTGAATGCAAATATATTTTGTCAGCTTCTTGCTCACACACACACAAAAAATGGATTTTATAAATAGCTTTCTATGCAATTGTTGCTGTTTAAATCTACCTGGAAGCTATTAATGTATAATTGCTAATCAGAGGAAATGACTTGTTTTGCCTGTGTCTCTTGGAAGAGGACAAAAGGCTAAGTGAATGTGCTTGATTCATTTATATAATCCTCACTGTAATTAGGACTCAATATGAAGTTTTAGTTTTAAGGAAACTTGCATTTCGAAAGAAACATTAATAGAGAATAAATGCCTTAGGTATTTCAAATAGTTCTAAACGATAAAGAGAACCAGTTGGAAGTAATAGATGCAGGGATCTTAGTTAAATTTTAGAGATCTTTATTTTTCACAGAAGCAACTCCAATGTTACAAAAACACCTAGATTTTTGCAGTGTGAATTATAGTGAGACTATCAGTGCTCAACATTATTATAAAATAAATCTGACAGCAACCACTGGCTGCACAGTAAAATATGGAAGCCTCAGTACACCAGTAACTTAAAGTTTTTGTGATGAACATGTGAGGGTGTGAATGTGTAATACTTAACCATTAAAAATCTATTAAACATTCACAAAAATGTTAGTTTTATTGATTCATATTGAAGTGAATTTTAACAGCTTGATACAGCCAAACAACCTCTTCAGCACTTTTTTTTTAAACTTTTGCAAATGTGGGCTTTCATTCCTTCATTTCTTAATTATTGTTGGAGATTGAGAAAAAAACAAAACTTGTTTTTTTTAAGGTTTTCTTTGTCTATTTCTGTGAATCTCCATATCTATCGCTCTCTCTTGCTCTCATTTTTCTTTTGCTGTTGATATTTTACTATTTGTATCTTACATTTAATTGACCAAATTTCCCAAAGATCCTTAAACAGCACCTTCCAAACCCACAGCAAGTTCCATAGACAGACAAGGGCAGCAGATACATGGGAAGACCACCACTTACAAATAATCCCTGAACCATTCAACATCCTGACTTGGAAATATATTGTTGTGCCCTCACTGCTGCTGGGTCAAAATCTTGGAATTCCCTCTCTACGGGCATGTAGGTCAACCTACTACATGTGAACCCTGGCCATTCAAGAAGACAGCTCACCAAAACCTTCTTAAGGGCTACTAGAGACAGACAATAAATGTTGGCCAGTCAGCAATGCCCACACTTCATGAGTGAATTTTAAAAAAATCTCTTCACCTTCTTGGTTTGGACTCTGTATGATTCAGTGTAGATTCTTCAAAGTGGTTAAGGAAATATGTGATAGCTTGTCCTGTTCAGTCAGGTTCAAGAACACCACTAGGGGATATTGTATTGTCTCAGACGCCAAATGATGTTAAGTTGATGCTAGAAGTTCAGGAACTGATTGTCAAATTCAAGGTGTTATTAACATCAAATAATATGAGGAAATCATTAGACAGGGCTAACTGCAAGTGTCAAGAATGTTCCTCTATTCAAGTTGGTTTAAAAAATTTTTGCAGATACAGACATGATTCAATTTTGTGTATAACTGCATACAGTTCAAATGCAGATTACAGCTCAATAACCATTTTATGGTTATTTTTCCAATTTGAGATTCATATACATTGTTACTGTTTTATATTGCAACTTCAAATGCAGACATGGAAGTTTATAATTGTAACACTCTCAGTGAGAATGTAACCTTAGAAAGCCCATTTGCACCAGTTGGTCATCTGTGGCTCCTCCTTTGAAGGTTGGATGCAAGCAAAACGTGAGATGGCTAAAAAAGATGCTTTTCGTTCTTACAATGGAAATTGATACAATTGATTAATATTGCGTATGTTTTAGAAATGCAATGATGCAGGCGTAATGTCATGCTGGGGTTTTCCTAGAAAGTTTATTGGGAAGTGACGTATATTGATTTAACACCAAAATCTCAAGATCGAAATTTCCTTGAACATTGATTCTGCTCTGAAGATTCACCAAAATCTCGCTTGACTCATTATCATAGCTGCATTTCTTTTTCAAGCACTGAGAAGTTGAGATTCTATATTCTTAGCAGCTGTAAATGGGTGACAATTTACCCAATACCCAATGTAATCTCATCTGGACCCAAAATCATCGCCCCAGGTGTTGTAGTAGTGATTTGGTTTCTTTGTATTCTTTTTATTTCTGCTTGTGAAGACCTGGATTGCTTTTGTTTTCTATAGTTTTGGCACTTTTTTAGTGGCAAAAAACGTTTTAGTGGCAAAGCTTTCACAATTGTCACTCATTTATTAAACATGCTTGGTTTCAGGCACATAAACATTAGTTTAATGGTTTGAACAATTCATTTTCATAAGGTGATTAACAAAAAGGATCTGACTGTTTATGGTTTATTTTCTGTGTGCTTTTATGTTCTCAGATTCTGACACATGCTAATGAAACTCATAAGAAATGTTGACTTAAGTTGTGTCAAGAAATTACATTGTTAAATCAAAAGAATTAAATGCGTGAGTTTGTAATTTCAGTTTAACACCACCTCCAAGGGGTTACTGTATGGTGTTCTAAGTGACAGATATCCTGAAACTTCCAAACTAGATAAGTGAAGAGCTCACTAGTGGCACAAGTTATCAAAAAGATCACCCAAGGTTACAAAATTGCCGATCAGTTGAGGCAGTAGATCCACCACCCAAACAATTAGACCACCACTGTTTAGCAAGTGTGTAAAATCAGCTTTGCCTTACATCTTTTATTCACTAGTTCTTAGCCTTAGTTGTAATTTGTTAGGATTTATTTCATGGTCGGGTTATGAGCTATTTTCTGCGTGGGACTTCTCTCTTCTTGAGCATGGACACTGAACAGAGTATAATGAAGCCTGAAACTTCTCAGAATGTTATTTCTTCTTTGCAGAGTTTGAGTATTCAATGCAGCTGTGTATATCACGAAGCTAAAAGGTAACAATTAACTTTGAATGCATCATTTGCATTTCACAGAGGAATTCTTTTAAAAAGGCAATGAAAGTTAATAACTTTTTGAAATGACACGGAACAATTCTAAAGAGTTAAGTAGATTCCAACAACTTTTTGGCTGGTTTTAAAATTTGTGTCCAAAGGTGGATTGGCCATGCTAAATTACCCATAGTGTCCAGGAATGCGCAGTGTAGATGGATTAATGACGGGAAATGTAGGGTTACAAGGATAGGATGGGGGGTTGGTCTAGGTGGGATACCATTCAGAGGCTTGGTGGGCTGAATGGCCTGCTTCCACACAGTAGGGATTCTATGATTCGATAAATTTATTCTGAAAAGCTAGCATTTTTTTTCTATATCAGAAGCCAAGTGTTGTTGGCCCCTTTGCTTTAAGCGAGTAAATACAGAGCAACATGTTGGCACCTTAACTAGCAGCACGGACCAAGTGATTTCTTTATTACTGACTACTTGAAGAAAAAAAGGTTTTGATTTTAAAAGTATATAGCAAAGGAAGGTTGTCAAGTCACAGGGCTACATTCAATGAGGAACCTTCTGCAAGATCTTTTCAAGAGTTGCCAGGCTGCACCATACTGCATTCTAAGAGACAGATATCCCGAAACCAAACGCTGTGCTTTTTAGTATTTTCAGTGGGTAACCAGTGACATTTCTGTTTCAAGCTCAGCTACAAAGTAATTTCTAAAAAGGAATTTTAGAACAAGGAAAATATCTCATTCAAGAGTTGGTCCCCTGGGTTCCCATGAACATATCAATGTGATTCCTTGTGATTGTCACTCAGATCTTGCCATTCAGTGTGTCAAAATAAAGAGAAACTTCCGATACAAAAAATAACAAAGATCCACGAAACATCCATCACCAGTAAGCTTTTCTGTCACTGCAAGAAGCATTTCCTTTATCAATCTTCTGTTAGTACTTTGGGATAGCAGGACATTCAACAAAAGACAGGGGAATGCACCAAAAACATTAAGCACCAAAAGGCCACATTCACTGCTTTGAGGCTGGGGCAGTGGTTGGGTAGAGTAGAAGACAGGAATATTTTCATGCTAGTATTGCCGAGAGGAAAAGTTTCGCATATACAGATGTCACCACTTCTCCAGCAGGTAAAAAGTCAACGTGTCGTGGTTTTTGGTAATCTTGAAATAACTTCCCTTTCAAAGTGAGTTTGTAGCACAAACTTGCAACACTAATTTGTAATAACTCGGTCACATCATCCATATCCTAGTTACTCAAATTCTTGGATACTCACAGCAGAATACAAATAGTTTTAATTGTACCAGAATTTATAACTGCACTCTTTAAAATGACGTCTAATGTGTGCCAAAAGTCTGAATCTATGTTTAGGCAAGTAAGCATCGAAGATGTCATAAGTGGATCCATCAACATTGTGAGCCATTCACAGTTTCACTGTAGCAGCCATGTGTACGCAGACATGCATGGCTTATTCTTTGAGATAAGCATATGCTACTGGCAGGATGAACCAGGTAGTCAAATTGACAACGACAAGCAGGCAACAAGGAACTAATGCAGTGGTGGTGGTGAAGGAGTGGCTGTTCCAAACAACAAGGTAACAATGAGATCCATGCCTTTTTTTTCCAAACGTGAGACAATAAATGAAAATGTAACTTTTGTTGTACAAGGTGCTAAGCTCTGAAAGGGTTAATGCAATGGACCAGCAGTTAAATATGGTTACATCATATGGAATTGAGCAAAGGAACAGATTTGGATCTCAATGGAAACAGACATACAATCTAAGTTTCCCTCAAAGTCTTTTGTAACAATGCCTACTATACCAATGTAATTAGTCTTGAAATGCTATCATATAATAGACTATACCTTGTTTAAGATAAGAGCCTCTACTTGTTAGGTTTCCAATAGCTTTCTTTACCACAACAAACTGAATGGACCACGTAAATCCCAAACTAAAAGCAAAATGATGCAGCAAATCTATGTCTGGCGACCAATAGCCCAGATAGCTCATACAACATAATGAGCAGCGGTGAGGATTG